CCTGGTCCAGGTGCAGGACCTCACACTTGGCCTTGTTGAACTTCATGAGGTTCACAGGGGCCCCCTCCTCAAGCCTGTCCAGGTGTAGAGATGCCCAGACCCCGGCAGACCCCAGAGCAGGGCTCTCTGTGAACCCCTGCCGGGGATACAGCCAGGACTGGAAAGGGGCCATGGACTGGTGGGGGTGCCAAGGCAGGAAGGTTGTGGGAGGATGGGGAATAAAGGTGTCTCATAGGGACTGTAGGTATTGGGTTTGCGTGGCAAGGTTTGGGTAGCAGGAGGGCTTCAGGGATGGCTTCTGTGAGAAGCTGCCAGAAGTTTCCCCTACATCTGATAGAGCCAACGGGAGCCAGCCCCAAGACAGACCTGACACTGGCAAAGGCCAAGACAGTCAGCAACAGTGGTAGCACCTCTGTGATAACGTGTTTAAGAAGAGGGAAATAAAAAAAACCCCAAACACTATGCAACAGCAGTTGGATAGAGGAGTGAGAGGATGGGAGAGGAGCAGCCCTGCAGACACCAAGGTCCGGGAAGAAGAAGGGGCAGGAGGAGCTCCAGGTGCTGGAGCAGAGATTCCCCTGCAGCCCGGGGTGCAGCCCATGGTGGTGCAGGCTCTCCCCCTGCAGTCCAGGGAGGCTCACAGGGGAGCAGATCTCCACCTGCAGCCCAGGAGGACCTCACTCCAGAGTAGGGGGTGCCCAAAGGAGGCTGTGACCCCATGGGAAGCCCATGCTAGAGCAGCCTCCTGGCGGGGTCTGTGACCCCATGGAGAGAGGAGCCCATGCATGAGCAGGTTTGCTAGCTGGGCTGGAGACCACATGGGGACCCACCCTGAAGCAGTCCATCTCTGAAGGAATGCACCCTGTGGAAAGACCCACGCTGTGGAGTTCATGAAGACCTGCAGCCCGTTGGAAGGACCCACGCTGGAGCAGTTCATGGAGGACTTTCTGCCATAGGAGGGACCCCACCCCAGAGAAGGGATAGAGTGTGAGGAGTCCTTCCCCCAAGGAAGAAGGAGCAGCAGAAAGAACATGTGATGAATTGACCCCAACCCCCATTCCCCGTCCCCCTGTTCCACCATGGGGAGGAAGGAGAGAAAATCTGGAGCAGAGTTAAGGCCAGGAAGAAGGGAGGGGTGGGGGGAAGACTTGTCACCACCCCTTCAGCCACATGATGACCCTGGGGATGCAGGAGAGGATTTGCCAGGTGGAGAGCTGTGGTGGGTTGACCCTTGCTGGACTCAAGGTGCCCACCAAACCACCCCACACTCCCCTCCTCAGCTGGATAGGGGGAGAACAATCGATGAAAGGCTGTGGGTTGAGCTAAGGACAGGGAGATCCTTCAGCGATTACCGTCTCAGGAAAACAACCAGACTCGTCTTGGGGAAATTAATTTAATTTCTTGACTTTGACAATCAAATCAGAATAGGACAATGAAAAATAAGAAGATATCTGAAAACACCTTACCCCCACCCCTCCCTCCTTCTCAGGCTCAACTTCACGCCTCAATTTTTTACCTCCTCCACCCACGCAGCACAGGGGCATGGGGAATGGGGGTTGCGGTCAGTTCATCACACGTTGTCTCTGCTGCTCCTCCCCCCCCCCCCCCTTCGCCAGCTGCAGCGCTAGGTCCCTCCCATGGCAGACAGTCCTCCACAACCTTCTCCAACTTGAGTCCTTCCCACCGATTGCACTTCTTCACAAACTGCACTAGCGTTGGCTTCACAAACTGCACTAGCGTTGGTCCTTTCCATGGGGTGCAGTCCTTCAGGAACGGACTGCTCCAGCATGGGTCACCCTGCGGGGTCACAAGTCCTGCCAGAAAAGCTATTCCCATGTGGACTGCTCTCCATGGCTCCACAGGTCTTCCCAGGAGCCTTGTCCAGTATGGGATTTCCATGGGATCACAATCTCTTCTGGGCACATCCACCTGCTACAGCATGGGGTCCTCCCTGGGCTGCAGGTGGAGATCTGCTCCACCGATAATGTCCATGGGGTGCAGGGGGACAGCCTGCCCCACCATGGGCTGCACCATGGGCTGCAGGGGAATCTCTGCTCCGGTGCCTGGAGCTCCTCCTGCCTCTTCTTCTTCTCTGACCTTGGTGTCTGCAGGGCTGCTCCTCTCACATCTTCTCACTCCTCTCTCCAACTGCTGTCGTTGCTCTGCAGGGTTGAGTGTTTTTCTTTCCCCCTTCTTAAATTCGTTACCCCAGAGCTGCTACCACTGTCACTGATGGGATCAGCCTGGGCCAGTGGCAGGTCCATCTTGGAGCCTGCTCGCATTGGCTCTATCAGACGCAGGGGAAGCTTCTGGCAGCTTCTCACAGAAGCCACCCCTGAAGCCCTCCTGCTACCAAAACCTTGACATACAAACTCAAAAGAGTCTTCCTGGGCAACCATTACAGGTTTGAGCCCCACTTTCAAGCTCAACATCACTCTGTAAGTGGGATCTACTCCATGAATTCCACTTTTTTTTTTTTTCTTTTTAAACTGTCAGTATCTCAATCCATGAGACTTTTCACCTTCTGTTTTCTCCCAATCCTCCAGAAGAGGGCAGTGAGTGAAAAGCAGGGTGGGTTTTTGGTTCTGGACTCGGTCAACCTGCCATAACAATCAGAACCTACTCTCCAAGCATGGCCTCACCGGGACTACCTAGGATGGTGCAGCCAGGTGGTCCCCTCCAAGCATAGATATGCACGGGGGGTCCCTGCATGGGCCCAGAGGAGGACACGTGGAGACACCAAACCCCAGCACAACCCAGCACAGAGGAACTGTGGTGGTACCCCTGGGTTGACACGAGGGCAGAGCCAGGGGCCACAGAGCTCGATAGAGAAGACCTCCAGCAGCTCCTCTTCACAACAAGCCAGGGAGTAACACACCCAGTGGTGCTCCTGAGAGAGGACAGTGGAACAGGAGGGGAGGCACCATGAGCTGCAGTGCAGGCCATCAGAACTCGCAACTGGGTATGCGGTTCCCAGCGAGTGGTGACAGTGGTTGCAGCCTCCAAGGGACCCCTGACCCCATAAGCAGCATCGAGTCTGTTACTGACCATGGAGAGCTGCTCTGGCTACAGAGGGGCTGCCAAGAGCACTGGGGCTGGCATTGGCCAGTCTCAGCTCTGTTCTGGCTGCTGGTTTCCAGTTGGCCCTGCTCTGTGCTTTGCAGGTGCTCTGGCAAGGACAGAGGCAGGGCAGGCTTGCCTGTCATACTGACACAGCCCCTGAGCCCAGCAGGAGGATGGGGATGGTGACATTTCCAAGACCAGCACTCCCCAGGACTGTGCTGAATGGCCAGGGCTGGAAATGGCTGGTATGAGAACATGGCTCTGGAATGAAGCTCCTGGGGAAGGTTCTCCTGTCTATTCATGCAGCAGCAAGCCAGGTTGGCTCTTTGGACTGAGGGACTCTTCTTGAGGGCCTTCATGGGCATAGGGATGGTCTACAGTTTCCCAGGTTCTCCTCTGCATGCTGCCTTTTCCTGTGGGGATCAAAAATGCTGCTAGCCCTGCAGACGACCCAGGAGAGGCCTTGTCCACTCTGTGGCCACAGCTGGACCCCTGTCCTTCAGCTCAGGCCTGGAGGAGTAGCCTTGTTTGGAGGTGACTTTTGGGGTAAGCGCTGGCAAAGAGGGTAAGGGAGGCTGTCTCCAGGTCATGGACTGGTCCAAGGGGGACTGAAAGGCAGCAGTGAAATGAAGTGGCTTCTGGGTCAATAGTTCCTTCAGTGCAAGCCCTGACACAGAGTCACAGCCTCCCTTTTGATGCCACCCTTCAGGAGGGCTGATGGGGAGTGGGGGACACCCATCCTTTAACAACTTCCAAGACCTGGTAGAGCACCAGGACAGTGAGCACTTCTGGCATGGCACCGTGAGCATGCTTTAGGGTAACCAAGCTCTTGACACCACCTTGGATTAGCTGAGCACCAGCATTTTTCTCTGTGAGGCAATTTCCAGCCCAGATCTGCTCCTGTCTGATCTCTCCCCATTCCTCCTCTGAGCCTCACAGCTCCCGGTGCTCCTGGCCTCCTCCCCATGTTCCCTGCAGGGTCTGGAGCTGGCAGTGCTGCTCTGCGGTGAGAGGGGGCTGTGGTGCCCAGGGCCGTGGTGTGACTCTGCATTGGTTGTGCTGGTCAGGGTGGGAAGCAGATCCAGGTGGACGGGAGCACTTCTACTGAGACCCTCTCCAGGTATCTGCAGCTGTGGAAGGAGCCAAGAGCATTCCCCCTGGCTCAGGCTGTTTTCCCGTAAGCACCTTGACCTAGCCCTGCTCTTGTACTAAGGCAGACATGAATTGCCCTCCAGTCTCCTTTTCTTGGTCTTCCTGGGTCCCCACTGCCTTTTCTGGTGTTGGCAGAGACCTCCTGTCCTTGTGGATACTGAACCATAGCACTTTACCATTGGGTAACTTCATCTTGGATAGTCTTTCTCTGTCAGGCCCACCTCAGAAATATGGTGTTCCTGCTTTCCTGAGGGCTCCAGATACCCTTCCAGAAGCCCAGCAGCTATCATTCAGCTCTGCTGCATGTGGAACAGCCCTGGGCAGGCAACTCAGAGCCCATTCACCATCTCCAGTGGCACTGGCCACCCACAAGTGAGACATGAGTCCAGCCCTCATTCCCCAACACATCTTCCTGTGACCCTTCCTGTGAGCCCATGGAGAAGCAAGCGCTGCAGCACCCATGGAGAGTGCAGCTCCTGGCACCTATTCCTG